ACCTCGTTAGCAACATTCTCCGCTATCCTAAGCCAGGTTATGCAGTTGAATTCTGGTTAACTAATTTTATCCAACGGTACTCGTTTTGTATTTAGAAATGTATACTTACTGTATAGCTACCTGATGACAGAGTTGAGATAATTTTGAGTTTGATGTTACTCTTGCTTAAGAGAACCGTCAAAATACTGAAGAATAATTTTCTGAATAAATTTGATCGCTACATATGCAAAAAAGAGAAATGCAAATAGCTAGCAGAAGTGAATATTTCCTGGCTTTTATTAGAGTGAGCACTGAACTCACTTCAGCTCTATGTGAATTGATACTTCATCCAAATTTGATTCGTTGTATGATCGGTCACGAGGTGACATCAGTTAGAGAACCACTGGCAAATCTGGTAGTGCTCGATAGCTTTACAGTCCTCGCTCGAGACTCCATTACTGTACGCATCCGCAAGGGTTCTTACCGAGGATATTCCGGCTACAAAGCGAGCTCGTATGAAACAATCTTCAGCTTGCTCATGAGGAAATGAAATCAATAACAAGTCTAATACGTTGATGATGCATACTGCACTTCAATTATAATGCATTCTTACTGTGAGCTCGAACGTGAAATTTGCAAAAGGGCTATGTGGAATATTTCCAGCCAGCATCGAATTCGTAATATCTTTGTTACCTCAGGTATATGGGTTTTCAACGTCTACTTAAAACCTCACATTACCTCCGGTCAAGGTGGTTGAGAAAAGAGTTCAAAGGCACACTAAAGTGTTATGGAATTAGTCTAACTAATCCTTAGAGACATTCGAACTGAGTAATTAGACCAAAGTTATAAGTTACTTATAAAATCCAAAACAGGAATTGTTTACAATATGATACTATTTTGCACATTGAAGTGGTAAGTCGAATATTTAAACGTCAATGGTGTCAAAAACACTGTCAGAAGACAGAGGTCAGAAAAACTGCAGAGATATGTCCAAATCAACCCATGGTCTACACTAAATAACTCGCAAATATACAGTTCAAGAATGATGTGATTCACATTAGTCATGTTTAATGGTAAGTGATAAAGAAGATGTCATTTAACCATAGGAAGATAAATACCACAGACTACAATGTGAGTGAATGCATTCAATGAGATAAGTTTTCATGAAAATGAATAATATTGGTTACAGGGTAGAGAAATGGAAGAATAATAACACTGTACTACTTCCCAGCATATAGTAGTATAACAGTGCAAACAAATCAAAAAGTAGTAAAGAAAAGATAAGAAAAGGAATAACAGTGAATTTCAAATGGAAATTATCCGAAATCAGCATTCTAGAAGACCATAATTCCACCATACACTAAAATTATTATTCATATTAAGTCAGACACAGAAGTTCTAAATATTCTTTATAAAAACTCCATCATCGTCAGGAAAAGTTTGAGGATATACTTTATTAAATTCCTATCCCTTAATATTATGATTACACCTGTAGGTTCTACGTTGGTTCGTTCCCTGAATTCATTGGTCCGTATACTTCATGGACCCCTGATCTGCATTAGTAAAGGGAGATAACTGTTGACTTACGTCTGAAGTTTGTGGCAGAGCCACATAGAATCGTTGATGGGAAATTTGTGATGATAATCTGAATGTTATTCTTCATGCTTAGTGAAGCAGATTCCTAATCTGATTTCAGATGTTTGAAGGTCTCTCTTGCCATTCCAAGAATTTCCCTTCTATATTTAATCCATGCTACCGGTAATTGAGATGAGGATGCCTAGATAGTTGAAAACTGGATTCTTCAGATTTTCTCGTCAAGAGTGATACGATTTTAAACAATAAATTGTGCTCGAAACTTCATCAAGTTGTTGATACTGCATCTCTGTGTGATTTTCAAAATGAACTTATCTAATATGTAAATACTTTCTATCACGGTGATCAGCTTCTATACTTACAATAATGATAATGTTCTTGCAGGTCAGACAACTCCATCACCGATGTCTTCGCACTGCTTATTTGAAATACTATCATCCCTGAATGCTTCTCTTGGCAGCTTGCTGATTTTCACATGTAGAGCTTTGCGTTTGTGTAATATCAGACATTTGAAAACGTAGAAGGTTTGATTTCACTTCAATTAGTCTCAAGCTGCATCTTGCTATATAACTGACATTGTCTAAATTAACGTTGATTTACGTATTTTGAAATTAGCTATTCCTTTCGCGGTTTTTAGAGGTTGCAGTTTCACTCCAAACATTCCCTGCTTTCTACACTTATGGTTGGTTAGTAGACTAAGTGGGCTAAGACCTAGGATGTGACTTTTGAATGTCTTGAAAAACGCTTTCATCAGCAAAGTATGACGAGTTACTGAAGCCAGTCATCCTTATTTTATCAACAGTCCAAACTCATAAGAACATACTTTCATATAGAATGTCATTATTGCTTATTTTGACACTTTATCGATTTTTAAAGCAGATTATTGGGTTAAAGATCTCTATTAGAGATTAAAGGAGACGGAATAATGAACGATAATTTGATTACTTCCTCATTAGGCTCTACAGTAACATATCCATATTAATTAAAGTATTACTGTTATTGACAACACTTATAAGATGTGAAATTAAAATCGAATCACTGACGTTAACACCCCAAGAGCCATATGTAGCTGGGTTGTAAACAGATTACAGTTTAATTCATCTGTGTGTAATAACATGCACAAACGTAACACAAAATTTAACACAACGTTTCCAAAGTAAATGATCATAAATATCAAACAGCGAATATATGGTTACGAGCGTTGCCGATTTCTATTCACAATGATGAAGTGGAAGTTTGTATACTTGTCAGTGTGTTAGTGAATTTATTGGTTGAAATAAGAAAACAGCGCGTTTGTGTATAAAAGCTCAATAATAAATGGTGAGGGAAATTGTTGCATACAGGACTGGAGGTCATGCCTGTAAAGTGAGAATTAACACAGTATTGATGAATTTTTACATTCCACTGCAGACCAGGAAAGAAACACTGAGTGGAATTGCTTCTTTTTCACACAGAACTCTACTGTTTTACAGGCGAATTTCATTGGCCACTGCTCTTTGGATTAGCCGGTATCTAGAGATTTTCGCCAAACAATACATTCATTCTAGACCTGTTTGCACCGGAGGTTTACTAACTACCTGGTGATTGCCTTTCACTTCGCGTTTATTCTGCCATACACCTAGGTTTTCGCAGGAACAAACATTAAGTTATTACAGCAACGACAACTACAACGGGCTCCACAGGAGCAGTAAGACTGGCAGAAAGGAAATAGGGTGGCTACTCTGTGAAGTTCGCCTTCTATTTGAGGAATGAAAACCAGTCATGTGCAAAATATCAACCACAGCTCACCAGCATTAAACTTGTTTATACTGACTTCCTTAACTTGCTGGTTGTTTTATTCCTTGGTATATCCCTTATGCATTGAAGTCGTGAATTGAGAGGCTTCTTGTTGACGAGGAGAGAGAACAGTTAATTTGTACTTTCTTGTGAATATGTTTAATCATGAAGTTTTCGGGATATCGATTACAATCTTAACTTCGTCTGAATGAAGGCTTCTGTACGTGGAACTCCTGTCCTCAGACTGAGAGTGACTGTTAAATTTCTTCTGTAGTGAAGAGGAACATAGCTACAAAAGTGTCTTTATTGTTGTATGAGGAAAGCACATGGAGAAGACTCTTGGAATTTATGTATCAGTGATGAGATATTACTTCGAAAAAGAACCGAAAAACTAGCAATAACAATAATGCGTTAATTGGATTATATTAGATAGTTGGAGGCAGTCGTCAGGAAGCTTTGGACCTAGGTTTTCTGTTGGTTGGCACTCGAGCTACCTAGAATGGTGGCTACATTGCAAACCTGACCGATAGAATTCAGTCTGCACCGAAGGAAAGACTAGATACGTCGCACTAGTGTCCAATCAAAATACGTTTATTATTGTGAATTTATAACGGTAGAGCCTGATGAAGAGGTTATCGAGGAAAATATTATTGGTTAAGTAATCATTATTTTAAAATAATCTTTCTTCTTAATTCATATTTTGATTAGTTCAATTTTAAGTGTTCATGAAAACATTCTCTAAGCTGTTTATTTTCTCCTCAGATAGTTAACGAATTTAAATGTTGATATTATACATATTCACTCGAACAAAGTATACTCTGAATAATAAGTTTCTCTACATTACTATAAAATGGTCAGTTGAACGAATGAATTCTTTTCGAGTACAAATTCAGAGTTATGTAGGTGAATAATTGATTTCTCAATAAATATTTTTTTGTTTCTTCATGAAACCGGCTGGTATGAATTGAACACTCAATAGGAGGTTAACAGACGCAACTTCCTTGTCAGAGCTCTATTCTCAGTATATACAGTTTGGCTGGATCAATCTGCAGTATTTTGAAATAGACTCTGTCGATTAGAGGATGTTTGTGCTAGTGGAAAATGATAGGATGACTAATCTGATGTACTTGCATATAGACCAAACTGTCTCCCTAAATAATATTATTGGTATATGAAGCAGTTCTGCAGTGAGTAGAATGTAGGCATGTGTGTGGTAGTTAATGGCTGTCGTAGAGTTGTTATTTATACATTCGGTGGTAATTGATGTTTTCTGATAGCCAGTGTCTCCAGATAAATATGGATTATATAACACAGAAATGCGTATAAATGCCATAATGGAAACTTAATCGGTAATTGTATGAGAAATGAAGCATATTCGTGTTCACTTGATATGTTAGCAATGGGAAAACTTCATGTCGATACTTCTCCTGTTTACATCAATGTACGATCCTGAGTCATTTCAGATGTTTCAGATTACCGTATGATTGTACTTTTCAGCTTTTGTTAAGTTATATCACTGACAACAGGTGAATTGTTTGCTTCGATTATTTTCGCCCATATTTCAGAACGATTTTCATCTTCACTGCTAACTACGTGAAACTTTATTGTTTGGTTGCTGGCAGAATTTGAGTACCATCGCCTACACGAGTTTAATGGCTGACACAATCTCCAAACGTTTCAATTTCAATGAAGCTGAAATTAGTTTTAAAGGCTACATAACCTGGGTAAGGAAACTGGCATTTCTTCTACAGGGCTTGATACTCAGATCTCAATCGATATCTCGTTTATGCTATTCATCATGATCTCAGTGATGGTCGTAATCGGCAGCCTGTATGATTGAAATTCTTGTTCTTATTGAGTTAACTTGTAGAGAGTTTCTGCAGAGCCTTCTGCTCGGGAAAGCGTATTTATCAATCATATTCGCGTAAGTCACGTGCTGAATATTCATTATTTACTGTTAGTTGATGGGGATACACTTTGTCGATTTCAATTTCCAGTCTGGTCCTGTTCTGAGCACCGTTATTTCCTTATTCTGAAATTGTATGAATTTTTTCACATTTTATTTCAGCTTACTTGCTATGGATTTGTATTGTACTGCATTGTTTTTCGAGAAAATTCGTCGAAGCGTTTTGGCTGTTCACATACTTATTGGAATAGTCGTGAGTGTGAATTAGTAATGTATATTATTGTCATAAATTGCTGTCAAAATGTGATCGAGATTTCCGTTAATGATTATCTTTTCACAATCTCCATTGCGCAGCTTTTGTGAGTATATGACACATGTCCAACCTTATATCTCTTTGATGCAGACTGCTCCGTCTGCTTCTAGTTTTTTCATTGTTATAGTTTATGAGAGTTACTATTAAGTGCTCCCATATTTCTGATAACGTTAACTTGTGAGTAGAACGGAAAGAGAGAGGCATATGGATAAATGGGATGATCATGCTCACAAGATAACACCATTCACTGATGACACACACATATTTAACATAATAACCAAGGATATTGTGCATCATGAAGTCTATCAAACCTCTACAAAGTTGAAATGTGTATTTGAAACACGTGACTTTCCTGACATTCTATCAGGGATAAATTGACTTCACACCAAGATCAATATATGCTTTACTGAAAGCAGATGTTACGTATCGGAGATATATCATTGGCAGTATATTATTGTAAGTAATGCATGAATTGAGATAATATGAGGTATGTTAGTGAATGTGACATAATATTTTAGAATTACAGCTTAGAAGGACACCAGCTTAGAACTCGAGCTACTTAACAGTTCAGTTAATACATTGCATGTGATATTTTTGTTCACCTGATTTTCATCCATTAAAATATGACCTCCAGTGTTGTTACTCAATATAATAAGAGAAATAGCCAATTCTAATTAAAATCAAAGTGTATACAGCCTTCCGATTCTCCAGTTCGAAGCAACAGTTTAAAGTGAGCATACTTGTAAATGGTAAAGTACTCCAATATACGAGACAAATTTTCCTTGTACATTTCATAAGTTACACTCAACCAAATATCATGTATTTCTCTAAGGAGACAAAGAATAAATGTCCCAATTTATTGTGCTTCAGGTCAGATAGCACAATGTCACACGATCTACTGTCAATCAATCATTCATTTGAAGATCCTGGATAAGTGGAAAATATCACACAGTAAACTCCACTAAAATTCTGTCCCTTAGAAAACGCTCTACAAATGAGACTTATTATTGATGTAATTGTTGACTAGGACAACTACTGAAAATCACATTTCGTTGATCAGAAAATTCAGCATGCAACATATCGCAATCCTGTGTGACTTTGACTTGAATTTTGAGTCATCTGTTTCCAAGTAATTTGTTGTCGGAGTGAAATGCTTGAGTGCAAATGAATATTTTCACTATGGGATTAACCCACGATATCCACAGATGAATGCTTCCTCACTCTCCATATATAAGGGAATGTTGTTTCATAACTTTTTTCCGAGTTTAATGGACTACTATACTACAAGAAGCGTACTCGTTAATAAGACCAGGAAGCATCACTAAGCATTGTATGTGTGAGAAATTCTGATACTTGATAAATTGAAGTCTTCCATCGGTGAAGTGATTTCTAAGTGAAATTACCAGAATTCAAGAAGACAGTAAATTTATTTAATTTCTCTGAATGACATCCCTCTGAGGATTGTTGAAAGAGTAGTGGGCACCCGCTTTCAAAAATACACTCCCGTTGTCTGCCTAAGTCTGTACTTTGGATTTCAATTTTTTTATGGTGAGATGCTTGGTTAATCACCACATATAATAATAATGATAAAGCTTTATTTAAGACAGTATACCAATATACGGTACAAAAGTTTTCAGCGTATTCAGTTCCAAAAAACTTTTTTCTTCACACAGGATTCAATTGTAAAGTAATAATCTGAAGTATATCCTCATTTCGTTGAAGACTTGTACAGCGTTTACTTGGGAGCAAGTTAAATCTTTGCGCAAGTTTATGTATAGGTCATCTGATATAACTGGACGATTAAAACAATGATAAATCCAGATGAAATTAAGCATTTTGGAGGGAAGTAATTTCGTTAGCTCAATGATGTAAGCAGGCCACCTCTGTGGAATGTGTCAGCAAATATAGCTAACTTGTGAAATGTCTGTGTAGCTGGAACCAGTCACGTTCACAGACGTGGTTCGGTTCACAGATCAATATCAGGCCAACCCAGTTACCAGAATTTACCACCACAAGTGAAACCTCTTCATTCAGTAGTCGGTGACAGATGCTTGGTGATGATTAACCAGAAATAGATTTATTGATGAAATAAATAATGTTGCCTCAATAAAATCCGCTAATCGTATCAGTCGGCGACAAAGTACCTGTGAAAGAATGAATAATGGCATTGTGATATCCAAATAGCATAACGAAAATATTTGATATAAAATTATTACGTTTTCTTTTATGTATATCAGTATTTTGATTGTGTCTATTTTCCTACACTTCATTCTAAAGGTCCTACTGCTATCCGTTGCATATCGTTGTACTTACAAGCAGCTGGTCGCACTAATTATTTTCGTAACTTTGAATGCAACATTGGCATTATCTGTCTGTATCATATTTGTAGCGGTTATTCTCAAAGGATTGAACTGCAAAGGGTTGTTGGTGTTCCTTCTACTGATCGTTTTCATTGCGTTCGTGGGAATTCTTTCCCTTTTGTTTAATCATTTGCCTTATCCATACAATGTGAGTTAATGTATTTAGTATTCCAGAGCAATGAAACAGTGTCCGGTGATTAGGAAATGCAGTAAAGCGTTTCATTCTCAACTATGGTAACGTGCATGTCTTCTTCTAATTCTCCACGCAAACACTGATAGGCCTCATTATTCTGTCAAACATAATGATTTCGTATTTAATATGTGCATATGACCGCACATATACTGATAATTTCACAAAGCTTTAAAAAACCTTTAGTTAGCACCGATTAATATAATTCTAGTTTGAATGATTCTTGTATAAAATTTGCACACGACTTAGGCCTGTTTTAAGCATATCCGTCTGGTTGTTTACCATCGTAATGTGGCGTCTTAATTACAGTAACACACTTTGAGCACTTAGAATCAAAGTTGACACAAACATGCATATCGTAAATTTATTCCAGAGAAATGTGATGCAAAATATGTAGCTCAGTCAGAGTAAATCTTCGCTGAATATCGCTTACTTTACATGGCCTAATGAGGAGTTCTAGGCTACTTAGAGGTAGTTAGTGTCAACAGCGTTTTTCCAGCGTCTGTTTTCACTAAAGTTTGAATTGAGAGAATACTGTTTTTTTTCGTCTTCTAACTTCTTTCTGGAAATCTTCAGCATCATTTGCCTTGGCGTCTGTGCAGCATTAGTAAGTTGTCTGTTATATTCAATTTACATTTGCGTTGTTGCATAATATTGCCTCTTTCATCAAAAAGATATGGATCAAGTATTATGTAGAATATGGAAGAGAAACAGCGAGGGTGTATGATTTTCCCCAGATATTTAGTGCCTTAGTGCGTCATCTCGACCGTTGAAATTAAGAGCTGACAGTGGAGCAAGTGGTCTTCTGGGCGTGATTGAACTCACTTTGCTGTGAGAACACACTCAAACCCTTCATTTGACGAGAATGTACGATCCTCACCATCCTCATCCATTATTGATGAAAAGATAAGCACACATGTGAATAGGGAGAAATGAGTGTTAGTTTGCATGAAAAAGGCAAAGAATACTGAGACACAGTTGTTATTAAATGTGCGTTTGTGCGGACTTGATTCGTCACTGGTTTGGTCACCAGACGACATCAGTTAGAGAACTGTTGGAAAACCAGGAAGTAATGGGCAGTTGTTTCGTCCACACGGCCGACACAATCATCATGATTTGAACCCAGGACCTCCAGTGGCAAGGCGAGTCCTTAGAACATTCAGCCACTGAGACTCAACCCAATGGCTGGAGGTCACGTACTGCTGAAAAGCGTCAAACCAGGGTTTCACAAAGGTTCAGTATTTCTTGGTTTTCCAGTGGTACTCTGACCAATGTCAGCTCACGATTAAGCCACTAAAACAGATCTCCTTCTGTATATTAAAGGCAGGCATTCGGTGTTTAAACAGAATCTGGATGTCTATCATACATTGAACGTTCGTATTCATTTTCTAAAAATCTTTGGAATTATAGCCACTTGGAAACTACTGACAGGTCGCTGTCAATAATGAAATTTCTTATCGACCATAAATCGAATACTTCATTCTAATGGCTAGAACCGAACCTCTGGTATAAGATCTGGGCTACTGTTGTGTGGGCCAGAAGAATGGAAACATTTATTTAGAGTATTTATTATAAAATACGTCGCAAACAAATGTAATATGCATTGCAAATATTTCTCACTTTGTGTACAATAACTTCTACTAATACAAATTAGGTGAATCATATTTGTGACTAAACATATTGAGTTGGTGATTCAACACCTGAAGATGCATAATACCTGGGAGGATCTTTGATGAAATTTCTAACAGTAACGAAATTTTTGTTTCATAACACACGCAGACACACCATCTTTCCAAATAAGAGATTCATTTGAAAATCGTATTCTTATAATTATAGGGTTTGTTCATGACGGCAAATGGACTGCGATGGTGCTTCACATTTATTGATTTGGTAGTCTGTTCTGCAGTCAATCAAGCATTTTTCCTATGGTTTTTTATTACACTTATATTTTCAGCTATTTATTGATTAGCACTCATGTCAGTTATTTTTCCTGGACAACAGAATGCACGTTTAATTGTTACATAACCTCTTGTTAAATAGCTCTGAAATATACAACTGATCTTCTTATATTCATGGATTTTCTGTTATACACGTATAAGAATATTTTTAGTCATTGATGTGTTGAAGTGTTTAAACTGAGGTAATTGTGACCATTAACTGGACTGGCGTTCCGTTTGTTTGTGCCAGAACGTTTGTGGGAAGTTAATTGGAGCAGAAACAGTCCCCAACATAGTGAAACCTGCCTGCAGTTCATTCACCATCTGATGATGAAGACTTGCTTTTTGCAGCACAGACGTGTAACCGCAAACAACTCACAATAATCTTTGGCGGGAGGCCTCATAAATTAAACTTCACGTCTTATAGCATAGTACCCAGAACCCAAAGAGACTACAGCTTGATAGAGACGATTTGTAGCTCAGGTGGATGATTTCGATGTGTTTTGTTCTCTGAGTGGATGGTTAATCTGCGAAGCTTTCATCACCCTACTGGGTGACATCTTCAGCGCATACTTCAATTTGAAGTGAGCTTTTAGATTTGTCCACGAGTTTATTAATATCTCTCCAGCTTGGCATCACAGAAGCTTCTTTCTATTCCACTGGGAATAAGAGCGGCGCGTTAATCAAAAAACTGGCCACTAAAATACTTGTACAAACTGAAAGATCAAAAACAAGTGTCATACAGAAAAAACATCTGTAAATATGTTGTGCAAAACACTAAGTTGTTAAAATTCTATTGCAAAAATACTATTGTCTCACCGGAAGCAGAATCAAAGAAATCACGAATACTTCTAGAAAGTCATCAGAGAGAAATATATGCTTGACTGTTTAAAAGTTTGTCAGAATCACAATTCTTAATGGATGATAGGTTGAAGTCGACAACATAAGTGAACTGTTGGCATGCTGAAATTCACATCGAGAATATGACTGCACTCAGAGTGATGAAATCGTGTGCATTTGAGTACAGAATATGGATTCGGATCCTTCGAAATCTCTTCTCGGAAAAACGGCTGGACTTGTAGAGAAAATATGAACGGTTCATAGTAAATTCTACACCATCCTGTATTTGTAATATGCTACCGGACTGTTCCGGCGCACAACTACGTCCACAGGCCACCCGACGTCGTAAAGAATGATGAGAAATCTATTGAAATCCCTCAAAACCTAAAGGCGACCTCAAGGAAACCGAATGTGTGGAAAACATGAAAACAGTTACTATCATACGGAAATCCAGAAGCCTTGATGATCTCCAAATTATAGGGAAATCTGTTAGTAGTTTAAATTTCCATGATAATGAAAGTTAAAAATATACAGTCTTTTCAGGAAACTTTAGTGAAGTAGGCACAAGTATGCGATCATCATTTACCGGAAGACGAAGAAATTGAGTACTGAAGAAACGTTTGCGGTAAAATCAACGAAAATGCCGCTACTCTTCAACGTATTTAGTTTGTCTGGTCCGGATTTTCGAAATATTATGAGAGAAGATGAACACATTTTTAGGACTTTAGAAACTTATCCTCTCTACTTTCAAATGCGAATTTCAGATAACAGTATCATCTTGTTTATGTGTTATGGAGCATGTTGATTGTTTAACAGGTTTTATTTAGACCAGTTCTGTAAGCGTGTCAAAGTGTTTTCCTTTCTCACTGTATATTTCATCGTTATTCACGCTCTAGACCGTTCTTCTGAATTTTTTCCATGTAATCAACGAAAATCCACTGCTCATTTACCTGTTATAGTACAAAGTACGCAGTTAGTGGTCAACAAAACATCTTCGTAACTGTGTTGAGATAACTGAAAGACGCTTGAAAAACAAAATACGAGGTGGCATTAAAAGTTCTATTGTGAGTATGATTAGCAGTGATGTAAAGCGGTGGCTTGTCCTTAATATTTCATCCATTTTACTTGAAAAGTCGCAGTATTCACAGTGTCTATGGCCCTCTACAGTAGTGACTTGTTGTATTTGCGAAACTATGCACTGCGACGATGATTTCGAGTGTTAGTGTCAGTTTGAAGGGATTGATTAGTTTTAAGTTTGATCACAGATCGGTGTCAGTTAGAAAATCACTGGAAATCATGCAGCACTGAAGGGCTGCTCACATTTAGTTCAGAACTATTCACCAGGACACACTAATCGGCCACCTGGGATTCGAGTGCAATGACTTCAGTTTAGAAGGCGAGCTCGTCTAACGTTCAGTCGTTTGGAAGAATGTTATAGCTTTGAATTGAAATATCTTAAATTCAAGGGCCTTGTATTACTTCCCAGTGGCTGCACGGTGTTGTTTACTGATGCATTAGGTGAGCAGTGGATTTTTGACCGTGTTCCGCTTTGCATTACAAAGAAGCTCATATTAATTATTCCGACCATTTTCGATTCATGTAGTGTGACCAATTCAGTATCACATCGAAACGTTTGTGAAATTTTGGCGAATATCTGATCTTTAACACGTGAAAGTTATGAATTGAGAATTCTTTCGTGGAACTTATAATTTTGTTACCATTATTTTAGCAAAACAACCATTATTTGTAGTAAAATTTAAGACATTCTCATCATCTGCAACTTAAGAATGATTTAGTAAATAATGGTCGGAATGACTCAACAATATAAGCACTTCATATCGTGATGACAAAAAAAATTAGTAAAGTCACCAAATAGGTGAATGGCAGCTGTACGCTAGGCAGATATTTGTGTGGATGAGTTCTCCACTTCATGACAATATAATGCGGAGAAACTATTCCTATTAGTTATTAAGGAATAATCTAATATTCCTTTGACGATTCTAATTTAGAGTGAATTTCCTCATTGAAGTACTAATCAACAAGGCAACGTCATCTATTGCAGACAATTAAGGGTTGTCATACCAGATCTGGAAGATGTAATATCAGAATAGACTACCTCTTGTTCAATCCATCGAATAAACTGCTCCTCTGAAGCAAGAAAGGTTATCAATTATTGTGTAAATTTAATATTTTGTGCCACATAACAATAACTAACATAGCTAAACGAAGATTCTAATAAAAGACATTATTAGTTCAATATTGTTTCAGTAATACCACAAATGAAGTGCCGAATGTAGAATGTATTCACTGTTGGTCATAATAGTTGTCTTCAATTGATGGCGGTGACTTTAATCAATCTATGCATATAATATAGATTGAACTATGATCTAACGACCATTAAACCATATACATGAATAAGATTTAATCAGTGTTAATAATTCGATGTTATATAATAACAATAGCAATAATGTTCAAAACAATATTTATTTGCTGACTAAAGCTCACAACTTTGAAACTCGAAACGTTGTCGGAACAATAAACGATTTCTTTGTTCACTATTCACAGCTTGACACAAAATAAACTGAACAGGTTAAGAAAAGTAATTTGGCATAATTTGTTCAAAGCCAAAGTTCATGAAATGTTTTCATTCTAAACCGTCCTAATTACAAATACTGTGCTTTGAAAAACTGTTATGCTGTGGTCATAAAACGATACTCCTGTTATTATTGATTGTTTATAAATTCAGCTCCCTTAACTTGTGATGCTTATCAAATCACACAAGGAATTAGGTTATGTGCTCATGATGTATTTTATATTTCTGAATGATCGGAAAGATGAGGGATAACTTCTGCGAAATTCATATTTTGCACACCCAGAATTCTGCGTTGGTGATGATTGTGGGGGAAAACGTATTTAGGCAATCAATTGTGTTGCTTCCGACATCAGTATGCTATTAGGCTGGATAAGCTGAAACTGGAAGAAGATGGTAGTCACTCGGAATAGAGGTCCTGCCTATTAGCAGTTTAATTAATAATCTACTGAACGGAGTGAACCCTTTTTGGAATTTTATATTCAATTTTCTCGGTGAAATTACGCATGAAAAGTGAGTAAAGTGTCATTTGCTCCATTTGCCCTCAAGAGCGGTAGATTAGAAGAGATGTGTTTTCATCTAGATTAACATACACATTTCCGATGTTGGCTGCATTTGCATTATTTGAGAAGCCTCTTATTTAATGGATTTCACTCTGCAATTCCTTTTCAAATTGGATGGTGTCAGCGGTAGCCTGACGTTGTTAAAAAGCATACTTTCTACTCTTTCCGTTTGTCCAGTGTCTGTTTATTTTCGCAAATCGGTATAATTATTCTAAGTGATAAATACTTTTCAACACTAAGTATATCATTTAATTCAAACGAGGGGACAATTGAAAATAGAATTAAATAATTCATTTGACCCATTGCACAAGAGATGGCTCTCACTGTCTAAGTGGACGACTGAATAACACTACGGTCTTAAGGACTATGGCCACTGAGTTCGCGCCTCGATGGGAACATCTTCACTAATTGCGGAGTGCAAAAACACTTAGCCGACGAGTCCTAAGCAGGGGAAACGCACATCCTGGAGTCCACTGCTAGTCAGCATCCGCGAATTAACTACTAAATATATCATTCATCTGGTTTTCTTATGCAAATGATAACATTTTTATGTGAAAACTTTTGTTGATAACATCGCTTGCTTTCTCTCTGAAGCGATAATCAGTATGGACCACCCTTAGTTAACCTGTGTTTAACTGACACTAAAACTCAAATTCACACCTGCGTAATTCACCACATGTCAGATGGCTATTTCCACAACTTGACGTTGGTTTCCGCAATCAGAATGGAATGGCCTTTATACGTGAAATAATTGTTTACAGCCATCTGCTCCTTATCTCATGTATCATATAGGAACCGATTTTCATTATCATAACTGCAAAAGTCTCTGAATTTTAGTTGATGCAATCTATTTAGACACATCTTGATTAGTGAATTGATCCAGGGTTTATGTATTACATGCTTCTCAACATTTAAGTTTATTCGGAATTCTCACAATGGACGCAGACTGATGCCTTCTTTCATAATTGAGTTCTCGTTGCTATCATGTGTGATTATTACCTAAATTTGTAAACATTTTTTCAATGTTCGTCATGG